CTTTGAACGTATTATTATACCGTTCACCGAATACGGCTACCGCCAAGTGTGTAAGAACTCGGTGATAAAAATCTTACGCCGTGTAAGAGACAATCACAGTCAAATATTTAAAAATTTTTTTTTTTACACACGTTTACAGTCCACGCATTACCTACTATTTTTAAATGTGTTTCTAATATACGGTTAATATAACGTTTAACGATGACCCGAAGTGAAATTGTTGAATCGAATAAATGTATACGCGCCGTCGTAGCGTACGCGCACGCTGTACAATTAAGAACATAACGGTGTTTATCACTCTGTGTAGAACCGTGTACTCATCGGACGCATAAAACAGTATAATTGAGCTACGGAGGGAAAAAAAAATCGATGATCATTAATTATAACGCTACATAATTGATAGCCGCGCGAATGTATCAATCATTCGGTCCTTCTTGCCCTCCCTCTTAACGTTAATTTCCGAGTACGCTTCTACGCGTTATTCGGCACATTTCGTCGGCCACGCGTGTACACTGTTACAACGTAATACGACGGAACACGTTGGTCCGCATTGAAATCATGCCGAAAACGCGCTCGTTCGCGAACCCGACGGAAACCGCTTACAAAACGCGACAAACCGTCTCCGTCTGGTCCAGCCGTCCGTACCGCAGGACGGTAAGACGACCGCAGCGGTCCCTTCGGTGTTCGCCGGATTTACGGTGACGCGCGATAACCTCCTGTCATCCGGGTCGAGCACGGAAACGTGCGACACAGATAGCTGCCGGTGCACGTAGTTCTTGTGATCGGATAAATGATCGCGTCGCCAACGAAATCCATCGGTAGTCAGACCAAGGGGGAACTGCAATTATAACCACGCGATGCACTGACGTACGTATACGAATATTATTATGTACGTCACGAGGGTGTCTTGCGCGTGTACAGTTATCGAGTTGTAGTGCGCGCGAGTAAGAAAGATACCAAGAGACGGGAAAAGAAATACGGAGAGAGAGAGAGAGAGAGAGAGAGAGATGGGAATTATATTATTACAATATGTAGGTATATAATTATTATTTAGTGTAACGCGAGGTCCGCGCGAAACGCCGGAACACCGCTAGGTAAATGATCGCTTATTTCGCGCGTCCGCAATATTTAATTATACACGCACACGCACCGTGTTACTGTCAGTAATTAACAAACTTATTTCTGGACGGCGAATCGATGTGCGTATATAAAATCTATCTGTGTCCGTCTCGCCTTCTTTCTCACGTGCGTCCACAGCGTCGTAATGTATACGACCCGGTAACGCGCGAAAGATTGATTTGATTTTTTTTTCCCCTGTACATTTTTTTCCTTTGCATCCGCATAACAGACGTCGGCGACGGTTCACGTTCGTTAACGCGGTGTGACGGGCTTTCGAATTTTTCCGGAACACCGGAACCGCAAGGAGATACGTCGATTTTTCGTGAAACTCTCGGACGGGTAAAAATATTCACACGCATGCGTACGGGTTTTCTTCGAGGACCTTTTCCCGCTGCGCCCATTAGTCGTACATTGTTGCAAAGTGCCAATACCGTCTCGTACACGATTCGATTCCATTCGGTACGTGTTGGTTTCGCGGCGAATTGTTGCAGTTTTTCTGCTCGCTTAAACCGTCCGATACCTTAAGAACACCGCAGCACGTCGCAGTACCAGATATTTCGTTGGAATCTGACCCGGACGCGCAGTACCTTTTGGCGAAGAAAGTGTTTTTCGATTTTTCCCCACGGTCCGCGAGGTAGGAGTGCTGGACAATCGACTAGGACTACATTGCAACGCGTTTCGGCAAACGTTCACGTATTGTTTGGTCTGAGCCGACGAAACGAATGGAGATGTGCGATGTGTGTGTGTGTTTCGGATTTTATGCGGACGGTAAGAAATTATTGACAGCCCTAAAGCCGCGAGCGAAAATCTTCGCTAGCACTCGCGTGGTTAGGTGTAACACAACATGATCGTTGTGTAACGTCATCGATCGTCGGCGGTGATGCGCGCGCTTCGGGTCGTGACGTGCTCGAGCCGCTGCGACTCCGCGACTTGGGAACCACCGCCGACGGGGTCTCGGCCTCGGCTCTTACCTGATACTTATACGCACGGCCAAAACCGTTTTGCAAGAGAAAGCCGTATTGCACGCGCGTAAAACGAGTACGGCGGCCGACCGTGCGTAATAGTATACTCACCACGAGATGACGGAGGCAGACGACGAGAAAAAGAGAGAGAGAGAGAAAGAGTGAGAAAGATACTGCTAAATAAGATGAGAAGTACAGGAATAAAATATTATTATCTATTTCCACGACACCGTCTTCCTGGTTTGTGGCCAAATCGTCCCCTCGGGTCACTTATATCATTACTTACACATATGTACCTGCGTTTACCGCACATGCTCGTTCGTGAATCGTAATCGAATAAATTGCATTGTTATTCGTCCGCAAAGACGATTTCTTAAAACACGATAAGTAATAATGGCTACAGTTTGGTGCGCATGAGAAAAGCACTGATGCGAGTGCCTCTTTGCTTTTGCGGTTATCCGAGGATCGTTAAACCTATCTACGGCGCGTAATAGTGCGTTTATCGTCATCATTTGAATATGAAATGGTAAAACGTGTAACACTTACACTTCTCTGTAAAGTGTCACAATAACTTTGTTCTTAATTAGGTACAATATTAACGATTAAATAATTCGAAGTGTACATTATGGTTTGAACTTTCGAAAATCCAAGTAGTTTTTTGTTTACTAGCAAATCCTAATAGATTTTTAATGCTCGGCCTACAGTGTATTGCCCAATTTTAAATTAACGTTTCCGAAATAAATTATATATATCTTAATTTTCACGTATTTAAAATATTTGTTAGCAAACCACTCGAATCGCCTTCGTACAGGTACACATATTATAATCACCGTAATTAGATCAGGAATACATTGTATATACAATGTAGTTAGTATACAAGCAGGCCGACGGTTATAAAATACGTTATTTGTTGTACTAAAACAATATATGCGGTGAGCAGCAATGGGTGTTTTTTGTTTTTTTTCAAGGAAGTTGCGATATCACGGTCGGCGTCCGATACGTACCTACCTACATAGTATAGATACGGATTTTGCGGGCCACCAGAGAGACAACGCGTGCGTATTTAGATTGTACGATTCCGTTGAACTGCCACAGAGTTTCGAGCCATTTGTCATCGAGCCCATAGGTTGTATTACTGTCACGTAAGGTATTACATTTTTAATTGCCGACCGAATAAAGAGCTAGAGAAATTATTATTCGTACGATTAGGTTTCAACTATGTATACATAATTGATTATACATTTATACGCGTTATTTGTTAACGGGAAAAAAAAAAAAACAATTGGGCCACGATCAACCTAATTTTTTAATTTTTTTATATTCTGCGTTAATTAAATTTTGTCTTTGGTTTTTTTTCTTTTTACTCGACGAAATCGGCAAATCTTATCATTAGAAAACTGATTTTTCGATTAAAAATATGCAATATAGTGTAGTGTCATTTAATTTCCTCAGGTAAGATTTCACACTTTGCTTTGTGAAAGTTGATGATAATATCAATAACAATAGTAAAAATACATATTTTTCCAACTGATGTTGTCTCTGATTTTACTTGCTTACATAATACAGGCGATTGTAATGAATCACATTTGTCTTACTACGTTCGCTCACAATCATACGTATAAACGCGAATGCAAATTACTGGACAATCATCGAATAGGATGAACCGCCAACAAAACACCTATCCGCTAAGATTTCGATGTTCGATAAGCGCTGAAAACGCCACAATATCAGAAACTATCTCTCGCGGTTATCTAATAATCCTATGCAAAGATTATAATTAATAATTTTCATTGTTTTCGTACCGCATCAATGCGATTTCCGTCAGTCACTATCGCTTTCTAACGGTGGTCTAAAAAGCCGAGATCGCCGAAATTCACGAATTTACTGCGGTGCCAGTGTGTGATAATATTATAATACGAGAGTGTCGCGCACGTATCTCAATCATTATCGCTATCTCGTTGTCACCATCGGTAATAACTGTACGCCGCCGTGTATTTAGTACGAAGCGACGTGGCGTGTATGATCAACGCCGTATGATATAGGTATACGTTTTGGAAAACGTCAACGAGGACTGACCTAAAATTTCGTTCCATGATGAGCGATGTGACTAGTTTCAATTTCTATCGCAAACGTACGTGATTCATAAAGTTTCACCGAATGAAAACGAACAATGTGTAGAGGAGAAAAAAAATTCTGAGGAAAAAAATAAAATAATAATAATAAATGGAAAGGAATAAGCGGCGATTCCTGTTTTGTGGAAGTGCACGGTCGTCTTCCGTCGTAGTAAAAGTGGTAGTGGTGTAGTAGTCGTAGTAGTAGTTGTAGTAGAGATAGTAGTAGTCCTACATATGTGCCGCATTGAAACTCTTTCACGACGAATGTATGTCACATGGGATATCAATCGCGTCCCGTCATGGTGGAAACTGTATCGTTTTTCGACTCTGCCATTCAGAGCCGCGGGGTTTCGGTTTCAATAGACCGGCACAAATGTGTATCAAACCGCAGGTATCCAATACCCGCTTGTTCGCGATCGAAACCTGTCCGTGTCACGTACACAGCCTCGATGGTTTCAAACGGGGCGATCAGGCGCTGTTGTAAATTGAATTATGTTCTATTGAGGTTGAAAAAATTATGTATCGCAATACCGACGATGGTCTCGGGCAATAACTGATGATGTATGCATATCACATGCAGCCGTGAATAGAATTAGAATATCCATTGTACCGCTGTGCCACCATCTCGTTGGTTTTGACTTTTTCAAATCGATATGATATGATAATAACGTGTAATACACGTAGACCGGGGATTAAATTATAGATACAGCGAGACTGTACTGTATTGTATTGTATTGAGCGCGCGATCCAGCACGTTCGCAGAGCGTATCACTAATATTCCGTTTTGTTCGTTTGTTGTACACAGGATGGGAGCTCAAAGGACTTCATTGTTACAAGTTTTTCAGCATAAAGCATTCGTGGGAGAACGCTGCCCACCTATGTAACAGGTACGGTATAAGCTGAACGCTCGAATTATCGTGCCTACCGGGATCTCACGTACGATTTGTTTTCGTTATATTTAGGTACGGCAGCGACTTGGTGTTAATCGAGTCGTATACGGAAAACAATTACACGGCATCGTTGGCCAGAAGAAGCCTAGGGCCGGTGGATAGAAACAACCAGAAATATTGGTTAGGTTTGGCCTCTTCAGATGACCTCCGTACGAATACTTTGGAATATGCTGGCGGCATTTTAGTGTCACAATATTCCGGTAAATTTCTTGGACCAAAGGCTACATATTATTTTTTATTACAGCACTTGTATTGATGTTCTAAAACGATTTTTTTTTCTACGTCTTTTTAGGATTTTGGTCATTGTCTCAACCCGATACATCGTCCGGTGAATGCGTTGACGTGACTGTGACTGATGAACAACAGTCGTGGGAGTTGCAAACGTGCGAATCTCTACTGCCATTTTTGTGCCGTGCCAACGCTTGTCCAACAGGTTAGATACCGCAGTACATTTTGTACATCTGTGATGATAATTTTATTTTCACGTAATTTTTTTTTGTTATTAGGCTCGTTCCACTGCTCGAATGGCCGTTGCATCAATTCAGCATTTAAATGTGACAAACAGAATGATTGTGGTGATTGGTCGGATGAACTGGACTGTTCATCAAACTGTCACTATTATATGGCCAACAGCGGTGACGTAGTAGAATCTCCAAATTACCCTCACAAATATGAAGCCCTGTCAAATTGCAAATGGACGTTGGAAGGTCCACAGGGTCACAATATACTGTTGCAGGTTTGCCAAAATCAAAAAAAAAAAAATCAAACCAATAGTTAGAATATATATTTTATTCGATGACGATTTAATTTTTAGTTCCAAGAATTTGAGACGGAGAAGTCATTCGATACCGTTCAAATCCTTGTCGGAGGTCGTACTGAAGACAAGGCGGTGAATTTAGCCACGCTCTCCGGAAAAATAGATTTGAGCAATAAAATGTTTGTTTCCGCTTCAAATTTCATGATAATTAAATTTAGTTCAGACGCTTCAGTAGAACGCAAAGGTTTCAGGTAAATGTCAAAGTTATAAAAATAAGATTGACGAAAAGAATAATAATATATTTTAATATAATTTTAAAGAGCCTCGTGGAAAACTGAACCTCAGGTATGTGGTGGCAATTTAAGAGCAACCTCACAATCACAGACACTGACTTCACCGGGATTCCCTAATAACTATCCCGGGGGCTTAGAATGCTTGTACACCATTACTGCTCAAGCTGGAAGAATAATTACTCTAGAGGTAAGGTTTAATTTTTTCTTTTTTCGTCTTATAAGTCTTATAACATTTCAGTTTTTAATTAAATAAAATATAAAATTTCAGATTGAAGATTTAGAATTACAACAAAACAGAGACTTTGTATTAATTAGAGACGGAGATACGCCAAAGAGTCAACCAATTGGACGTTTAACAGGATCGCTGGAAAGCAATTCTAGGTTAATAATGTCGACCGGAAACCAAATGTATTTGTACTTCAAAACAGGTTTGGGCGACAGCAAAAAGGGCTTCAAAATAAAGTACTCGCAAGGTTGTAAAGCCACTATAACCGCAGCCAACGGAACAATTTACTCGCCTACTTTTGGCCTGTCAAATTACCCAAGCAATTTGGAATGCCTCATTAAAATCAAGAATCCTACTCTCAGTCCATTGTCATTGAAATTCGATTCCTTCGTTTTACACCAATCTGATTTCGTACAAGTATACGACGGCGCAAGCACTAGTGGATTAAGACTTCATCCGAACAATGGTTTTACTGGAAGTACACCTCCCAAGATAACGCTTACTGCTGCTAGTGGGGAAATGTTGGTAAGATTTGTTACAGACGCATTACATAATCAAAAAGGATGGCACGCAACGTTCTCAGCAGGTAATATTCAACATACAATTTTTCAAAAATTGAATTCGTTCTCAAATGTATACTTTAACGTTATTAGATTGTCCCACATTAAAACCGGGCGAAGGAGCATTAGAATCGAACAGAGACACTGCTTTTGGAACGACCGTTACTTTCTCGTGCCCGGTCGGACAAGAGTTTGCCACTGGAAAATCTAAAATCACATCAGAATGTTTAATTGGCGGCAATTGGTCGGTTTCTTACATCCCAAAATGTCAAGGTAAAGAAACGAATATCAAATAATGTATAGTGTTGTGACACTTTATTCATATTTTACGCTTACGATTTAGAGGTGTACTGTGGTCCCGTTCCTCAAATTGACAATGGTTTCTCAACCGGTTCAACAAATGTAACTTACCGGGGTCAAGCTATGTATCAATGTTATGCAGGATTTGCTTTCCCGTCGAACGAGCCGATTGAAAAAGTGTCGTGCCTTGCAGATGGACGTTGGGAAAGATTACCCACATGTCTTGGTAAGTGAATTAAATTTGTACTTTTTTAGAAGATTTATCATCAAATTTTCCAACTAATATTTAGCTTCACAATGTCCACCACTTCCGGAAACACCACACGCTAATGTCACGGTTTTAAATGGCGGTGGACGTAGTTACGGAACTATTGTTCGATTCCAATGTGAGTCAGGATACGTTCGGTCGGGACATCCCGTAGTTCTCTGCATGAGTAACGGAACTTGGTCTAGCAGCGTTCCAGTCTGTTCTCGTAAGTTATTAATGTGATTTCAAACATGCAGTAACAACATTAAATTAAATAATGGTCTTGTAATGTAGGTGCTGAGTGTCCAATATTGCCAGAAGTTAATAATGGATTTGTTATTGACCAAAGTCGTAAATACTTTTACGGAGATGAAGCTCGAGTACAATGTCACCGAGGATTTAAACTCATTGGAGGACCATCGATAATTAAGTGTGGAGCCAATCAAACATTTTCTAATGTTCCAAAATGTGAAGGTATGCTATTAAGTTAAATTTTTTCAAATCGAAATTATTTTTTCTCGATAATCAAATACCGTGTGTTCTATTAATTAGATGTGAACGAGTGTGCTGCTAGTCAATGTGATTTGGCATCGACAGAATGTGTTAATAGCTTAGGTGGTTTCCACTGTCGTTGCAAGACCGGGTTCGCGCCCACTATGGAATGCAGGCCAATAGGAGATCTTGGTTTGATAAGCGGAGGAATTTCTGATAACTCTATAACTGTATCGGGATCCGAACCAGCATTTACCAAAGAGGTAGGTATCGAACTGTTGATGTTCAACTAATTAACCGTTTAATTAAAATTACTAACATCTTATGTTCAGATGATAAGGTTGAACACAATGCGAGGGTGGTGCGGCACACACGTTGAGCCCGGTGACAACTGGGTTTTAATCGACCTGAAAGCACCAACCATAATAAGAGGTTTCAGATCACAAGGTGTGATGAGAGGTTCTAACAAAATAGCATTCTCTTCTGCTATAAGAATCCAATATTCAAATAATCTGACGGATCTGTTCAGAGATTACACTAATCCCGACGGAACACCGGTAGAATTTCGCATTCTTGAACCCAGCTTATCTGTACTTAATTTCCCAATGCCTATTGAAGCTCAATACATCAAACTTAAGATTCAAGATTACTCCGTTGCGCCTTGTTTAAAACTCGAGTTGATCGGTTGTACAAGATTGGACTGTGTTGATATAAATGAATGTTCTGTCAACAATGGTGGATGCCAACAAAAATGTATCAACAGCCCCGGAAGCTACGCTTGTTCGTGTAACATAGGCTATGAGTTATACATGAAGAATGGAACTGCTGGATTCTTCATCAACGAATTCGAATCTGGTGAAAGAGACGGTGACGTGTATCAGAGAAACAAGACTTGTGTTCCAGTTATGTGTCCCAGTCTACAAGCTCCGGAAAACGGCATGATACTTTCGACAAAGGAATCCTATCATTTCGGAGATTTAGTGAACTTCCAGTGCAAGTTTGGATACGTGATGAGTGGATCTGCATCTCTGTTGTGTACATCTACTGGAGCATGGAATGGAACAGTACCTCAATGCCAGTGTAATTAATACTTAACTTTAATATTTTTTTGTTTTGTTTAAACCACTGAGTAGCTAATAAATAAATGATATTTTTACAGTCGCAAAATGTGTATCCCTTCCCGACGATAAAGTGGAAGGTCTTAAAGTTAGTCGATTTGAAAAAGATGCAGTTCTCGTACCGTTCAAAGAAAATGTCACGTTGAAATGTGAGAATCCAGGACGGACGCTTAGGAGAACTGCAACTTCAGGATTTAGACAATGTGTTTATGATCCAAAGCCTGTTAGTATTATTTAGATATTAAATAGTAATAAAAATATTACCTACTTGATTATATTTTAAAATGCGTGTAGGGTTTTCCTGATTATTGGTTATCTGGAATAACTCCATCGTGCCCGAGGGTGGATTGCGGAGTGCCGATGCCTACAGCCGGTGCTGAGTACGGCAATTTCAAAGACACAAGATATCAATCGTCTTTCTTCTTTGGTTGTCAAGATACTTTTAAGCTTGCGGGACAAACTGATAAAAACGATAATGTGGTGCGTTGTCAAGCAAATGGTATTTGGGATTTCGGAGATTTGAGATGTGAAGGCCCAGTGTGTCAAGATCCCGGCAGGCCCACGGATGGTTATCAAGTAGCCACTAGTTATGAACAGGGTTCTGAAGTACAATTCGGTTGTAACAAACCGGGTTACATACTAATCAATCCTCGCCCAATTTCATGTATAAGAGAACCAGAATGTAAAATTATTAAACCATTGGGTCTAACCTCCGGTAGAATACCAGATTCGGCCATAAATGCAACATCCGAAAGGTAAGGATTTTTTTTTCAATGTTTTTTAAAAAATTTCAACCAATAAAACTAAAATATAATCGACTGCAATTTAATTTCAGACCTAATTATGAAGCTCGTAACATTCGTCTGAATTCAGTCACTGGTTGGTGTGGTAAGCAAGAAGCATTTACTTACGTCAGTGTAGATTTGGGACAAGTTTACAGAGTCAAGGTACGTCGGTTAAGAGCAAAAATATATACACAGCTATGATAAATAACAAAAACTTTTTGTTCTGCAGGCAATTCTCGTGAAAGGTGTTGTTACTAACGATATCGTCGGACGTCCAACCGAAATACGTTTCTTCTACAAACAAGAAGAAAAAGAAAATTTCGTTGTATATTTCCCCAATTTCAATCTTACGATGAGAGATCCTGGAAACTTTGGCGAACTAGCTATGATTACTTTACCGAAATATGTCCAAGCACGATTTGTTATTTTAGGAATCGTCAGTTATATGGATAATGCTTGTTTGAAATTTGAATTGATGGGTTGTGAAGAACCCAAGGTTGAACCTTTATTAGGTTTTGACTATGGTCATTCGCCATGTGTTGGTAAGTAATTTAAAACTATTATATTATTGTATCGAAAAATAACTGTTATAAAAAACATTTTAGACAACGAACCACCGGTCTTCCAAAACTGTCCAACTCAACCGATCGTAGTACACCGGGGACCTAATGGAATAGAACCAGTAAACATGACAGAACCCGTTCCGGTAGACAACAGCGGTAGCATTGCTAGACTCGAAGTAAAACCACAGAGCTTTAAATTGCCATTCTACACGTTCCAAGACACGGCAGTAAAATACGTCGCGTTTGATTTTGATGGAAACGTAGCAATCTGCGAAATAAACATCACCGTCACGGGTAATTATTTTTACAATAATTGGTTAAGCTACCACCACGAAACACTTGAATTGATTCATTGTATTATCCTATGTATTAGATGAAACGCCACCGCAGTTGAGTTGCCCTCAGAGTTATGTTATCGAATTAGTGAACAAACAAGACAATTACGTGGTGAACTTTAATGAAACTCGTAGACGAATCAACGTTTCAGATGCTTCTGGTGAGGTCACGCTTGCATTCAATCCCGATCGAGCTTCTATTGCCATCGGAGATTTCGAGAACGTGACGGTCACTGCTACCGATAAATTTGGTAACAAGGCTGTTTGTTACTTCCAGGTACTTACAATATGTAATTGAGCTTAGGCACAAAAAAAAAAAGCATGTTTTTAAAATAAATACTGATGTACGAAATTATTATTGCCCGTAGGTTTCAGTACAGGCTACACCTTGTGTGGATTGGGACCTTAAAACGCCGTTGAACGGAGCATTGAATTGTTTACCTTCCGACGATGACGGTTTAGAGTGTATAGCCACGTGTAAAGCAGGATTTAGATTCACTGACGGTCAACCGACTAAATCGTTCACTTGTGAACAAAGAAGTCTATGGTCACCATCATCGGTCGTACCAGATTGTGTGTCCGAAAACACCCAAGAAGCTGACTATCACGTAGTACCGTCCGTCACTTATCGTGCTAACGGAGCCGTTCCATCTTTATGTTTGAGACAATACGCTGATATTTTAAGTCAACACTACGCTCTTCTCAACGATGTTTTGACAGAAAGATGTTCTGCTGTTAAAGTCAACATGAACGTCTCATTTATCGATACTAAACCGCAATTGTTGGACGAAAACTTGGTCCAGGTGTGTATATAGCTAACCCAAAACCATATACATATTATCAAAATTATTAATACGAGTTTCAAAAGCGTTATTATTTACGATATCTTATTTTTTCAGGTTGATTTCGTGCTAGGAGTCTTGCCAGAAGTCAGACAGCCCCAGTTGTATGATTTCTGTGGTTCGACTTTGAATTTAGTTTTTGACCTTAGTGTATCATACGCTAGCGCTGCGATAGAACCGTTGTTGAACATATCAGCAGTAGCTAATCAATGTCCTCCCTTGAAGGCCCTCAGGTCATCAGTATCAAAAGGATTTGCTTGCAACATTGGCGAAGTACTCAATATGGACACTAACCATGTGCCTCATTGCTGTAAGAAAAAAAAATACTTGTCATATGTATAATGAATGTCGTATTAATGTTAATTATTCATTATCTAGTGCATTGTCCTGCTGGAACTTATGCTGGAGTCAAGCAAACTTCGTGTATGCCATGTGCTCGCGGATACTACCAAGATACAGCTAGACAAGGCGCTTGTATGAAATGTCCCAATGGAACTTACACTAAGGAATTGGGATCCAAGAGCTTGAAAGACTGTATTCCGGTGTGTGGTTATGGAACTTATTCACCGACTGGTCTTGTTCCTTGTCTCGAGTGTCCTAGAAATAGTTATACGTCCGAACCACCGACTTCCGGTTTTAAAGAATGTGTTTCATGTCCACCTAGTATGTTCACGTATCAACCTTCTGCGCCGAACAAAGATTTTTGCAGAAGTAATTATATATTAATTTTTTTTTTTTTTGTAAACGTATAAAAAAAATCATGCAAAACTAATCAATTATGTTTTAAAGCTAAATGTCCTCCGGGTCAATACTCAGAAACTGGTTTAGCACCATGCTCGCCGTGCCCAGCAAACTTCTATCAAGCAACAAGTGGACAGACCGTGTGCATGGAATGTCCCACGAATACCAGAACCAAAGGTGTTGGAGCAGCGGGACGAGATGAATGCCAATCAATTGTGTGCACCGAAAATTCTTGTTTACATGGTGGACTTTGTATGCCACTTGGACATGGAGTTCAATGTTTCTGTCCAGCTGGATTTTCAGGAAAACGTTGCGATATCGACATTGACGAATGTGCTTCTCAGCCATGTTTCAATGGCGGTTCGTGTATAGACCTTCCACAAGGTTACCGTTGTCAATGTAAGAACGGGTTTAGTGGAATAAACTGCCAAGAGGAAAAATCTGATTGTAGAAATGATACATGTCCCGAGAGAGCAATGTGTAAAGACGAACCAGGTTTAGGTAACTTCACGTGTCTCTGCCGAAGTGGATACACCGGACAAAATTGTGATGTGACGGTTAGTTAGCTATAACGAAAAAGTAACCTTCAAAGCGATAATTATTAATTATCGTTTTTTGTTTGCTATTTTCAGATCGATCCATGCATGGAAACCATTAACCCGTGCAAGAATGCAGCTACGTGCACAGCATTGAAACAAGGCCGATACAAATGCGAATGCAAACCCGGCTGGGAAGGTGAACATTGCGATGAGAACATTGACGATTGCGCAGAACGACCATGTCTTTTGGGAGCGGCTTGCACCGATCTCGTGAATGACTTCAAATGTGCTTGTCCTCCGGGCTTTACCGGCAAACGTTGTGAAACGAAAATCGATATATGTTCAGCTAACCCATGTCAAAATGGTGTATGCGTCGATAGGCTGTTCAGCCATCAATGCGTTTGTCATCCAGGGTGGACTGGCGCTGCTTGTGAGATTAACATTGATGATTGCGCGAGTAACCCGTGTGGAAGCGACGGGGAGTGCACGGACATGGTAAACGGTTACTCTTGTACTTGTGACGTGGGTTACACCGGTAAGAGGTGTCAACACTTGATCGACGATTGTGCGTCTGGACCATGTCAAAACGGAGGGTCATGCATAGATATGTTGGATGGATTTGTTTGCCGCTGTAGACCGGGTTTCTTGGGTATTCAGTGCGAGGCTGGAATAGACGAATGTCTCAGTGACCCTTGCAGTCCCGAAGGCACGGAACAATGTTTAGATTTGGATAACAATTACAAGTGTATATGCCACAATGGATACACCGGACAAATGTGTGAAAAGAACATCGATGATTGCGCTTCTTCTCCATGCATGAACAACGGAAAATGCTATGACGGCGTCAACACGTTCTCGTGCCAATGCCCTCCTGGCTGGACTGGAAAACGTTGCGAAATCGATATCAGCTCGTGTCAAAGCAAACCTTGTTTCAATGACGCGATGTGCATCAATTTATTCCAAGATTACTTCTGTGTGTAAGTATTACGATGGTGAAATGTTGCGATAATTCGTAACCTTTAACCACATCTTTTCATTTTAGATGTCCATCTGGAACGGATGGAAAACAGTGTGAAACTGCTCCAGAACGTTGTATCGGCAATCCATGTATGCACGGAGGTAGATGCCAAGATTTTGGTTCAGGATTGAATTGCACGTGTCCAAGTGACTACAATGGTATTGGTTGCCAGTACGAGTTTGATGCCTGTCAAGCAAACACATGCAAAAATGGAGCGACGTGTGTTGACAACGGGCCGGGGTACAAATGTATGTGTCCACCTGGCTTTACGGGTGTAAACTGCGATGAAGATATAGTCGACTGCAAAGAAAATTCATGTCCGCCTACAGCTACTTGTATCGATCTTACTAATAAGTTCTACTGCCAGTGTCCATTTAACTTGACCGGAGACGATTGCAGAAAAAGTAAGCTATACATATACTTAGTATGGTTAATCGAAGCCACGAACGGGCTTTCATTCAAATATTTATATTTCAGCCATCCAAGTTGATTACGACTTTAGTTTCCCCGAAGAGATGTTGAGTAGCGCGGCTTTAACAGTTCCGTTCCAATTCACGGGCGGTAGAGACAGTTTTACGATCGCCATGTGGGTTCAATACGCACAAAAAGATGAACCTGGAATATTCTTTACGCTATACAGTGTCACGTGAGTTACATTTCGTTATAGATAATAAAAAAAATGCACTTGTGTGCGACGAACATTCTTAATTGGAAATTGTTTTTAGGTCCCCTCACGTCGTGCAAGGTCAAAGGGTGATAATACAAGCTCATTCCAGTGGTGTAGAAGTGTCAATATTCCCAGAACTGCAAGATGTATTCTTGGCTTTCCACGAGTACACTACGATTAACGACGGTCAATGGCATCACATAGCCATAGTGTGGAACCAAGGTACACTGACATTGATCACCGAAGGATTGATCGCTAGTAAAATGGAAGGTTATGGAGCCGGAAGGAAACTGCCAGAATTGTAAGATGAATTTTGAGTTAAATTTTGATGAACATTAATAAAACTTTTGTTTGACGTTTTAGTGGTTGGGCTGTACTAGGAAAGCCGAGAACGGTTAGAAAGACGTTCACAGAGGCTGGGTTCAAGGGCCAGTTGAACAAAGTACAGATTTGGGGACGTGCACTTGATGTCACCAACGAAGTGCAGAAACAAGTGCGAGATTGTAGAACTGAGCCAGTACTCTATCAAGGATTAGTGCTCACGTGGGCAGGATTTGATGACATCCAAGGGGGCGTTGAAAGAATCGTTCCTTCTAAATGCAGTCAACACTCGTGCCCGGCTGGATACACCGGACCGAACTGCGAACAACTTCAAGTTGACAAGAAACCACCGCAAGTAGAGTATTGTCCTGGCGATCTTTGGGTCATTGCTAAGAATGGATCAGCAGTTGTCAGTTGGGACGAACCGAGATTCACCGATAATGTGGGCGTAGTAAGAGTCGAGGAAAAGAACGGTCACAAACCTGGTCAAACGTTATTATGGGGAACTTACCGCATAGCCTACGTTGGTTTTGATGAAATCGGTAACGCTGCAGTGTGCTCCTTCAGAGTGTATGTTCTGTGTAAGTAAATTTTTAAATCTCGTTTTTCATCAAAAACCGTTTCAAACTATTTACGTTGTGTTTAATTCCGTTTCAGCCGAGTTCTGTCCAACGTTGGCAGATCCAATCGGAGGTAAGCAACAATGTAAAGACTGGGGTTCCGGTGGACAGTTCAAGGTATGTGAAATCAGTTGTAATCCGGGTCTGAGGTTCTCGCAAGAAGTTCCGAAATTCTACACTTGTGGAGCTGAAGGTTTCTGGAGACCGACCACCGATCCTGCGTATCCAACCATCTATCCGGCCTGTTCAACTTCTAAACCAGCTCAGAGAGTGTTCAAGGTGGACATGAAATTCCCTACATCAGTGCTGTGTAATGAAGCAGGACAAGGAGTACTGAGACAGAAAGTTAGAAATGCAATCAACACGTTGAACAGGGAATGGAACATTTGCTCGTACTCTATTAAAGGAACTCGCGAATGTAAGGATTTGAATATAGACGTGAAATGTGATCATCGCGCATCTAGACCAACGAGAAACGTAGACGACAGTGATGCAGAAGACTCGGCTATTGTAATCAGGTAAAACTACAAGTTCAAGTATAATTTCTAGCTGGGATCTTTTAATTGACCAAAATAATTATTATACAATTTATATTATATTTATATATTTAAAAATGTTTTTTACCGACATTTCAGAGAGAAGAGGCAAGCTAGCGACACATATTCCGTACAGATTTCGTTCCCGGCTATTAAGTAAGTTTTTGCTGCACTTGACGCGAGTAAAATACACGAGTACTCACTTACGCTTTACTGTTTACAGCGACCCCGTGGTCAATAGTAACTCGAATCAAAGAGCAAACATTCAAAGGTTATTGGAAAAGCTCATATTGGAAGAAGATCAATTCGACGTGCACGACATACTGCCAAACACCGTACCGGACCCTGCTTCTCTGAACTTGGAATCCGATTACGCATGTCCCGTCGGTGAAGTGGTTATGGCACCCGACTGCGGTAAGACATCACGACAGTACCGTTACAACTATAGTCGACGCGTTGTTCGCATTACGTTTAGCGGTTCTGACGATCGTTAATTATTTAATTGCAGTGCCGTGTTCCGTGGGAAGTTACTTTGACAAAGAAATGAAAATATGTGTGCCTTGTGCTGTGGGCTCGTACCAAAGTGAATCCGGTCAATTGCAGTGTTCGGTGTGTCCAGCAATAGCTGGTCGCCAAGGCGTGACCGTGTCCACGGGGGCTCGATCAGCGTCTCAATGCAAAGAGAGGTGTCCGGCAGGCAAGTACTACGACGACGAAGCCGGTTTGTGCAGAAGCTGTGGATACGGTTTCTACCAACCATCAGAAGGTAGTTTCAAATGTCTGTTGTGCGGTCTCGGCAAGACTACGAGGACTACGGAAGCAGTGTCTCAAGAGGTGAGAGCAGTTGTTGTTGACCACAGCAGCAGTGGATTACAAAAGACGAAATCCATAAACCTGTGGTTCTGTAAATTTGTTCGCAGGAATGCAGAGACGAGTGTGCCGACGGTATGCATTTGGGCGTCGAAGGCGAATGCGAACCGTGTCCGAGAGGAACGTACAGGACCCAAGGCGTGGAACCAGCTTGCCAGCAATGTCCCGCCGGCAGGACCACCAAGCAATCTGGTGCTTCTAGCATCGAGGAATGCTCGTTGCCCATCTGTGTGCCAGGTACCTACCATAATATAACACGATCGAATAACGTCGCGAAAGCCTAGTGCGCATGAGTGTCGCCGATATAACCGCAATTCCGACGTGTTTCAGGTACATATTTGAACACGACCCAGAACAGCTGTATATCCTGTAAGAAGGGAACTTACCAACCGGCCATGCAGCAGACTATCTGTCTGCCGTGCCCGCCGAACATGAGCACCAAGACCGTAGCAGCTGTAAGTGCACGCCAACGATACAGATTAGACGACCGCGGCGGTGCTGTGAAATGTATACTAACGGTTTGTTTTTGTTTTACCCGCAGACCAGCAAGTCCGAATGCTGGAACCCGTGCGAGGCGAACGTGGCCGGCAAACACTGCGATATAAACGCTGACTGTCTGCTGATACCGGAGACGTCGGACTTCAAATGCGAGTGCAGGCCCGGGTTCAACGGCACCGGCAAGGTTTGCAAGGATGTGTGCGAGAACTACTGCGAGAACAAGGGCACGTGCGTCAAGGACTTGCGCGGCCAACCGTCCTGCCGATGCGTCGGCTCGTTCATCGGGCCGCACTGCGAGGACAAGTCGGACTTTGCGTACATCGCCGGCGGTATCGCAGCCACCGTCATATTCCTCATTGTTATCGCGCTGTTCGTGTGGATGATTTGTGCGCGGTCGGAACGCGTCAAGGAGCCCAAGAAGCTGATGGCTCAGACCAACGACCAGACCGGTTCGCAGGTGAACTTCTACTACGGCGCAGCGCCGTACGCGGAGTCCATAGCGCCGTCGCATCACTCCACGTACGCGCATTATTACGACGACGAGGAGGACGGCTGGGAGATGCCAAACTTCTACAACGAGACGTACATGAAAGGTAACAACCACATATATACGTGACGACATGTCTTCGTGAGGATTCGATATCCAATCCCCGTATCTCCTTTCCTGTTTTCCATCGTTTTTCCATTTTCACGCGACATTAAAATTGCCCTTGACCGTACCCAACCGTTGCTGATAATTTGGCAAAAAGAAACAATTTAAATTTTGCCTAACGCGCTATTTGTAATCGTTCGCAGAGAGCTTGCACAACGGCAAGATGAACAGTTTGGCCAGATCGAACGCCAGCATTTACGGTAACAAAGAAGACTTATACGACAGACTCAAGAGGCACGCTTACAACGGCAAGAAAGGTGAGAACGGTAACCAATTGATATTATTTTAATGTACTAATCGGATTCATTGTGAACAGTTAACACGACCTAGCATTTGAAATTCAGAATTTAAATTTCATTATTGGATTTATTATGACTTTTTCATTTTTTTTTTTCTAAATATCTTAGGCATATGCCTTATGTATTTCGAATCTGATTAATTTTAATTTTTTTTTTCTCGACTTTTAATCAACATAACTAAAAAGGTAATTTTTACTACTTTTAATATTTCAAAACAGTTTTTGTTTTCCTATGTAAAGACATTACTTATAAATAATAGATTTTCGACGTAAACGAAGGTCATAAATTACAAATGTATAGCTGCCGAGAGATGATGGCCATGTTTATAATTTCAAAGTAAATTTTCCAGCTCTGAAGTACGATTTTCAAATCATATGGATAAATATTTTCACATACCTTTTTAGAACATTTATTTATTTATTTTTTTTTTTTTACTATGAAAACTCAATTTTTTCCAAGGAGATTAACTGAGTGTTTTTAAGACCGATATCCTAATCCATACGACGTGAAACGATCACGAATTACTGAGATCAAATCCGTTCCATTTGATATGCATCAAATATTTCATTTTGTTTTTGGTGTGTTTCAGATAAAAGTGATACCGAAAGCGAATGCCAGTGAATAGACTACAAATGTAATAATAATAATATTATAGTTGCTCAAAAGTAAATAGATATGAAAAAAAAATAATAAGATAAAAGTTAATAGAAAATTAAGAAATTACAAAATAATTCGTACGGTTCGGGCGAACATAAGTGGCGGACGGACAGTAGGCCACAGGAAGCGGAAAAATCAAAACCAACGCAGCAGCAAAAAGAGCATATCATATACGTATACGTTTTCTTCCTGTTAAACTACTGACCAAACGCACCTCCCTACATATACTATGCTACATTATGAACGATAAATGTTAAAAAATTTGCGAACGACACGTGGGAGGTACATACCCGAATTTTCCTCAACACAAAAACGCGAAACTAATTATTTATAATTTATAATATAGAAATCTAGTGTCATAAAAATACTATGTACGCGAACGAATTTGTATGTACTGTGTGTAAATAGCTATAAATATTATATTATGTAATTGTTATTATAATTTTTTAACAAGTCCTAATGTCCAGACATAAGCGTATAGGAATAATAGAGACTTTATTGGCTCGTAAACCAAAACTGTACAGTTTAGACGATTTTTATTATTCACTACGATTTGTATAAGTGTCATTATTCAAAAACAATCATTTTTATTTTTATTATTATTATTTTTCATCATAGCTTTTAAGACAAAATATATTATATTACTTTATTTGTTAAGATTTTTCCCTTTTATATTTATACAAATTGTATCATGTATAATATATATATATATATGTTTTTTACCATCATCAAATAAACAACACATTAAATACATAATAATACGCATGTTTGACATATATTACTTTCACATACCATTAATTATTATTATTATTATTTAGACAATAAAGATAAAATATTTCTGTAACTAATATTATAAAAAATAAATAATCCGCAAAAAGGAACTTACAATAATATTGAACATTCTTGTAAATACTAAAATAAGCAAAAACTATTAATTTTTTATTTGTTTTCGAAGAACATCATATACATAATATATAACCGACTCGAGTCGAAACAATATATAAATCGATAATAGTTCCTACATAAAACAATATTCAGCACCTTCTAAACATATTGAGAAACCGAAACGTGCTGTATACACGTATCCGTGCAAATCATGTAAGTACATAGGTAATGTTAAAATATTATTATTACATGTGCGGGGGGAGAGGAAGAGAAACTCAAGTTTGAGCAGCACGGACACGTAGTAATCGTACAATATAACTATTATCACTCCGTTGAAGTATACACATTGAATGAACGTTAAAACTAAATAATAATAATAATAATAATAATAATATATTAAGATGACAGCTTTTTCGGCGCACTAATACACATTTGAAAATATTCTTATAATATATTTTGTTCGCATGCGCTGTGACAAAAACACACAAGTTGTATTTAGGTACGTGACGCCTTTAGCCGGGTGAAATATTACGAATACGAAATGTAAAAAATGTACAAGTCATAAAAAAAAAAGTTGTAACAAACACGTAGTAAAAACATACATAGTACTATATTATCTCGAGGTAATTAGAATGTTACAATAGTGTTGTTATAATATAATATATAGTAGTAGGCGAATGTGATGTGCAGGTTATAATGTACACGTCGGTAAAACGTAATGAAAAAATTATTTCTTAAACGTATAATTTTTTTTTTTTTGTGACGAGTAACGACGACGATGTCTATGCTACTAATCGACCATTGGCGGTTATTAATTTTTACCAAGTCGGGTACATTTACAGTACGAGAACAAATCATCGTTCCATAAAGGGAACTCGCGGTGTGCCAAGAGGGTTTCAAAATCAAACTTCGAGATTGCAGTTTATTGTAATTTGAATGCCTTGCGTTACACATTCTCGTTTTCGGTTTTTTCCAAATCGTCGTCGCAAAACTCGTGCACGGCTTGTTCATGAATTTCACACCAACAGATAATGAAAAACCATACACAGATAAACCGTCGTCCATTACGACACATATTATAATATAAATTGCATGTAATTAACATCTTTATTCCCGTCAATAACACAAAAATAATTGACAAAGAATAAATATTAACATAGATGTTTTAGAATAGTTAGTGGAAGGTTCGTACATCGATTAAAAGCATATTTTTTAATTTTTTTTTTTGTTTTTTAATACATAAATCATTATGTTAATACTTTATACGTACATTATAATACACAAGAAGTAAGAATCGCGGGATTATTATTATCATTGTAGGTAACAGAGTTAAATATTGTTTTCGTTATCCAATATTAAATTATACATATTTTGATTATTTTCAACGTTTTACGCGTGACCGCTAAAAATAATAATAATAATACCTTCGGTGCTACACGTATTGATAATGTTCATACATTACACTATAAGTACTTTAGTTTCTAATTAACGACATTGTACATTTATGGAGGGGGTGATAAATAATAACGAGATAAAAATTATAATATACTTTTAATGATATTTTTGTACTTTGATTAATAATAACTACGAGAGAGAAACAAAATATATAAAAAAAAAAAATTAAAATTGAAACAGAATATTGATTATAACTTTTATATTAAATTATTATTACAGGTAAATTATTTTATCAAATAAAAACTTAAGAGGTAAACGGTGAGTTTGATCTACATATCTTGGTAAGTATAAATATTGAGTAATTTTGAAATAAAGGTATTTTGAAAGCCAATGTTTTAAGAATTATAATGAATTATTATAGCAATTTCAAGTTCAAAGTACACTAAAATTATACTTAATTATAATAATTAGAATATTAATTTATAAGAACGTGAAGTAACCGAAAGAGTTCTTCCAATGTTAAACTAATACAACATAATTATTTGTTGTTACTTAAACTAATCACAAAAATTAAAACATACCAAGAAACCGATGAGCTTAATAAACATTATTTCAGGCAAGTAGAACAGATATATATATATAATATACTTTGTTGAGATTTACAACTTAATAGTCAAATTAATAGTAGTACATCGTTAAAAAATAATTAATTACTATCACACACAGTATTTTTATTAACATAATAAATATTAAAACTAATATTAAATATATCTAAATATTAAAACTTAATATACCTTAAGACTGTCTTAAGTGGCTCTCCTACTTCTTCTAGTTACATAAGCATTCTGTGGCAAAGAAACACTGTAACTTTACATTCTTTGTAATATTCTATTACGTAGAATAGTAATCATATTCTCTTCATCTCTGATTTCAAATAAAGACGGATCTAATAAATAATGAGTGAATATAATTGGTAATGGTTTAAAAAGTTTAAAAATTAATATGTGTCATGTCCACACTCACTTAAATACCCGTCATGTCTAGACCAGATTTCATGGGATAAACATTTTACTTGTCTGCCAGCAGGGACATTAAAGAAACCCAGGGGTGCTTGGCGCAGAATATTGGCTTCATGACGTGCTGGATTCCAACTTGTACTTGAATCTTCAGTAATAGCTTCTAGCTGCCAATAAGCCTCTAGGTAGCAAGTATCAGTCTTGGGGTTCCACAAAATCACACACTTTGTCTCAAAGCCCCTAAATTGACACATATAGAATATTTTAAATAGATTATACATCAAGCGATGTTAATGTTTTATTTTGCAAGAGGTAAAAACTACATTTTTTTTTCTTTATACACAAATAATGTTTATATCTACTATTAGAAAAAATATAAGTATTATAATATTGATAATAGTTTTTTAAGAATTTGACAGATATTAAAAACATTCATAATTAAACAAATTTTTTGCTGAACTATGTACTTATTCTAATTATCTAAATATATTGAAAAAGAAAACAAACATGTACCTGCTACTCTCAGATTGGCAAATAGGTATGGGTCGTTTTTCTTCTTCGGTGTTCAGTCTTATGCACAGTGCAATTAAAATGTCCCCATTCAAAGGACAAATCTAAGCATAATAAATTAAGGTTATTGCTACAATCAGTTAAATAAACACAATAAACTAATATTTACATCAATAATTGCTGAATCATAGTCATTGTAGCACCAAAATTTGTGCCCTTCTAGATTGCAAATAATTTCTGCTACTTTATAACTAACATGCTCAAAATCTAAACTCGCTTGCTTAATGACACAAACATTTTTCTCCTAAGGAAAATAAATTATGTAAATTTAAAAAGTTAAATAATTAAATGAGTAAATCCCTAATCATTGGCATTTTAAATCTTTTAATAGATTAATAGGTGCCGATATCCTATATAAACATTTTCATAGTTAATAAAATTACTAAAATTATACAGCTAGTGATATTTATGCTAGTGATGACTCACCTGTTTTCCAATTTTAGTAGTATTAACCATTTGCATTTGAGCAGAAGCAGACCCATGCACAGACAAAGGAAGTGCACATAAAGACCCTGTTAAACCGTCTTCTTCTATAGTTAAAAAAAAAAAAAATAGATATTTAATACTTTAAAATAAATATAGTAATTTTAATAAAAATATTTTATGGGTTCAACTATATTTATAGATGGAGTGATAAATTTGAGTATTCAAGTATTTATTTTTAGTTTAAGGTTAACCTCCATAATATAAATCATTAAATATGTATACGCTTCAAACGCTCCCATATATTTTTTTATAATTGCAACTGTTATAGTGTACTTCTTTTTATTCTTCTTTTAAATTAAATATATCTAAAAATTCCCTAAAATGCGTAAAGTGCAAGTGTTGGTAAGATCTTCTATAAGATATAAACAACATTTTTATAAGTAAATTAATATTTCATCAATGGGTTTATATCATAATATTAATATCAATTATCATAATATTCATATTTTGTCTCAATATTCTTATTGTGTTAAAGAAACAAATTGTATACTACATATAATCATTAAAATTAAAAAAAAAGTTTAGGATTGAAAAATATTAATTTATGAAATATTGAAGAAGTTAATGTTTTATTTTATAAAACATTATATTTCTATAGGCCACTTGTCTCCTTAATATTGTTTTATATTTTATATTCAGATAAAATAAAAATTATAATTCATAACACACTAATTATTAAATGATATAATGAAAAAATGACATAAAAGGATCGATAAATTAAGGCTCATAGTCAAGAGTTATTAACACTAAATTATGCTTGTTTTAACTGGTCCACTAATTTAATGTGATAATAAGATAAATATGTTTACATAAATGTAACAATAATGAAGAACTAATAATTTTCAGCTAAAAATTCCATTGCAATGTAGAGAATTCTTTTGAATAATATCAAATGTTTTAAATGCAATATATTGAAAGCAGCTAACAATTTAGTTTAAGTAAAGCAGGGGTAATCTTTAATAGACTTATAATATTTTTAAATTCTCATCATACTTGCATTAAAAAGGAACTACAATTTTCATCAAAATATAGAATAAAGTATTTTGTATAAACTAAAGTTCTGAATAGAGAAAATGTAAAAGCAAATAGAATGATTATTCTTATAATAAACTTATTATAATTAAAATTTGTTTTTTTATAGAATTTCAATAATGTCAATTATTTAAGTTAATTATAATTATGATTAATTTTCATTTAAATAGGATACAATATTTTTTAACTCTATTTCAAGTGATTTAAACACAATAGTAACTTTAAATAACTTAATATTCTAATTATCACCTCAATAAAAATAATGTTAACAATTTTCTTTATTTTTAATGATCTATTAGAACTAGTAAAGAAAAAAAATATTTAAAATGATGTATATTTGATTATAATAATTAATTTTTATATTTACACAATTTTAATCTTAATTATTGAAATATAATTTTTTATGATTTACTATTTGTTAATTACAACACATTGTTCATGTCTATTTTATTGATAAGAGTTTGCTTATAAATAATTACACGATCGACCATGACATTTATGGGCTCATCTATACTGCTATAATTTTGATTGGTCAAGCTTAATGCTTTCATAATGAGTGATAAAGCTTTATTAGGTCCATGCACAAATTCTAAACAAATGGCATATTTAACAGCAAAATACAATATGATAACTGCACTAACAGTATTTTTCAAACAGAGCATCCAACCAGATTTGAACTCATTTAGAGCTTTATGATGATTATACAATTTAATTTTATCGTTACATACTTCAGCTTTATACCTGTGATAATCACCACAAATTTGATACATTAATACTTTATGGTCAACATTTTTAATGGCACCCATCAAATGATCATTAATGAATAAAATAATTTCATTGCAGGTAAGTTTGATATCAGATGAAATACTCAGTTTGTATTCATTAAAAATTGACCAGTCATAACTACTTAAATCTGAACAATTTTCTTGTTTTAACATATGACGCCAGGCAGAACGTTTTTTATTTATGATTTGTTTATAACAATTAGACCACATTTTAATTTTATAAATATTGACATCAGAAGAATTTCTCATTAAAGGTATTAAATACTCTAAACAATCTTCATATTGATTGATTTCATAGGTTACTTCTGCCATAAACATTTCCATTTTAAATTTTAATATTTCACTTAGTGCTCTAGTTATGTACTTAATTAAAAATAAATAAACAAAAATCTAGTTTAAAAATATGAATGGTAACTAATCAAAATGTATAAAAATCAAAGACTACACAATTTATGAAAATAAAAATAAAAAATATTAATAAAATGTAAATATACTTATTAAGTACTGTGCACACAGAATTTCAACTTTAGATTAATTTTCTTTATATATGAAAATAAAAATTATTCGTATCCAAGTTATGATGTCATTCTAGATGCCAAATCAAAATAAAAAACTAGGGTAACTCCTAATTAATAAATTTACTTAAAATTTATAAATTGTCAATTATATTATATAGTTAAACATAATTTAAACATTTAGAAATTTACAATGAAATTGGACCTTCAAAATTAATAAGTGTAATAGATTTTCAAGAGTTATTTTTATGATCTAGAATCTAATTAATATTATTATGATAATGTATTAATAATATAAAAATTCATTCAAACCATCTAAATCTGTGGAGACTGAAACAATTTCTTCATCTACTTCTATGTACCGTCTCTCTAGTTTTACTGAACATCCTTGTAATGGTACGGATAGAAATACATTATTAGATTGACTTCCTATTGTAAGTATTAAAAATTGAATAAAATAAAATAATGGACTACATATAACTTTTTTAATAACATAGGTAATATGATAATAAAAATCTTACCTTGAGTATTATTATCAGGTACAAGCATAACACTGACTTTCTTATCACAGGCATTTTTGGAATTCTTTGTCAATGGAGTTTTATTTCTTGGCTTGAGCACATTAGTTATTTTTCTATTAGCAATATCAGGACTCTTAAGGTCTCTATCTTCAGAGGTAACTGAACGAGGTGACGATAAACAATCCCAGTCCGCAATGATTGCATTTAATTCTTGAGCAATTAACATTTTTCTATCACAGTCATTTAATCTATCATCTTCATAGTCTGTGTGTATATATAATGGTGTTTGATCAACAGCAGAAGGTCCTGGTGATTCACAACGTTGACATAGACTTTTTTTAGATGAAGGATGTACATTCTCCATATCTTCTTCTTCAGAACAAAATTCATACATTTTATCAGCTATTCTTCTTCGCCTGAACCATTTGAATTTAAGCATACAGCTATCATCGTTTTCGTCAAAATCATAGATCTATTAGATAAACCATACAACATTAATATAATAGTTAAATTTGTATTATTAATTGTAACTTTTTTTTTTACCTTTTCAGCATCTTTCATTCTCAAAAGACGATGGCTGTTATAATTTGGTATAGGATTCAAAGCAGATATGGTTAAATCTTGTTCTTTATCAAACTGTAATAAAAAATAAACTTAAATTTATAAAATAACAATACATTTATATTAATTACATACAAAGCATCTTGATTCAATATGTCTTCTCTTGATACCTCTTTCTTGATTATCACTTTTATTTGCCATTTTATAACCAAATTCAGTCAAATCATTACTAAGCCTATAAATTAAAATAATTGTCTAATATGTGTTTTATCCAAGTTATTTACATTTTTGTTTTTTACTTGTGAGCTAATGGAGCATTAATGTTTTCTGTTTTATCAGATTCAATATCTTGATTTTGATCTAAATCAATATTTAAAACATGAATGAAATTACACGTATTAAGCACAATATGATCATCATATTTCAATAATACGTATGGCTCTAGGCTTGGATAAGGATGCGACACAGTAAATAATGTATGAACAGTAAGGCCATGAACAAGACATGTATTACCTGAATAATACTTGGAAAAATCTATAAATAAATTAAAGTGTATTAATAAATAAATAACAATAATATTAAATAATAAACAATCTTACCTTCATGTCTATGTTCATAGGCTACAGATCGACAATCTATACAGTTATTTAAAGATGGTAATGTAGTAACTGTAATATAGATTTTGTGCATATCACATTCATCATCTTCAGATATTACACTAAAATCAAAAAATGTAGTAACAATTCATTTATTTATACATTATTATTTAATTTATAAATAATTTACCTTTCACCGAAAACTACAACTCTATCAGAACGGTTTGGCCATTGAACAATATAAACATTTAAAAGATCAATATGATCAGCATTTTCAAATAACGAAACTTCTGTAACCTTAAAAGCTTTTTGACCTGGCCGAAATGCCCAAAAATGAAGTTTGTACTTAATATTCGAACTAGATATAATAGGACTATCAATGACAACAGTTTCAGTCTCTGCTACTGTACATGTATAAGTCAATAGAAATCGGCCACATCGAGTAAAGCCCATTAATACATGACTAAAACAAAGAGAAAAAAATAAATATTTAGAGAAACATTTAAACAATTGAAAAAAAGTTTTATCAATTTTCAATTTACTTACTCTGACATGTCTTTTATAATATCAGACAATAAAAATGTACACCAATCTGGATTTTTTTTGAATAAATATCTTGCATTATTTTGAGGGTTATATTTATACTTAAAAGTACCATGGACCTGAAACATTTTTAAAATATTATTAAGAAAACTTAATTGTCAAAAAAAAATAATATTTATTGTAGAAATACCAATTAGCTACTTCATATCAATAAGTGTAATTTTAAATATTCCAATCATAATTTTAGTTCCAGAAAAATGTATAGTAAGAAAACAAAAAATACAATATATATTGTTTATAAATATAATGATATTAAAATATTAAAATACAGACAATTAATATTTAATATAAGCATATATATTATATAAGTACAATTCTTCATTGCTGTATAACTAGTTATTTATTATTATATAAATTAATATTTTATATTCAAATTAATTCCTTACTAAATTAATTGGCCAGAAATTGATAATTTGTTATAATTACATAGGTTAGTTAACTAGCTTTAATTAAATCAATTTGATAGATGTACGTATAAAAATCAAATTGCCCAAGTAATATTAAGGAAAATAACAGAATAAATATTATTAAATCATTTAAGAAAAATACTAGTAATTAAGACTTTAAACATTTGCAGATTTAAATCTTTAAAAAATATGTGTCAAAAATTGAATTTTCATCATATAAAATCGTTAATACAAATAAATAAATAAATAAATGATTAGCCAGGAATATTATTATATTTGAAAAATATGACCAGTTTCAAATTAAAAATCATCATTAGGTATAAAATAAGTTAATAAAATTGCGACTGAATTTGAAAAAATAAAGGAAGGAATAATAATACATTGAGAAAAATTATTTTATTTATTTTAATAGAAGAGATTATTTAAAATTAAATCTTAATAGACAAAGATATAAATATAATTTAGATAATGAAATAAAGGTACAAACCGATTTTAAAAATAATATCTAAGATTATAATCTTACATCAATACATTTGAGATAATAATAAATAATAACCAAAGTACTCATACTTCTTAACATATTTTTTCTTTTATTTTTTTACTTTCATTCATGATTTTATTGACTTTGCATATATCTGATGACGAAATTTTAATTTGAAAAAACCGGTCATACTTTACATATATAATAATACTCTAGACTAAGAATTTATTTATTTCTATGTATAAACTATTTGTTTATTTATTTATATATTAATAATAATAAATCAAATTATAAGAAAATAAATCAAGGAACTAAATAATTTATATGTTTTATTCTCTATTTCAAAGCATCACCAAAGGGATATCAGTTTAAACTTTTTTTTAGTATTCTGCAACAAAAACCTTAAACAATATTAAAAATGAAAGAGAAAAGAGTTGATAGGAATCATAAGAATTGAAAAAAATGATTTTCTTATAATAAAATCTAAAGAACGTAGACGCGTATCCCCAAGCTTTGAGGCGCTGGTACACTGTAACTTCACTTGCACTACTAGGAAATCTAGGAACCATTGTAATATACCCAAATCGAAATACAACAACCGTTCGAACAGGTCGGAAGATATGAAAAGTTTCGCATAAGATGTCGAAACGAGTAGGTGAGGAATGGGTGATTTCGCGTCCAACAACACGAGGACACGAAAAAATCCGCATGGTTGTACAAAATGACAACGTCAAACGCAAGTATTCCATTACCTGCCGGTTATAGAGTTTGTGGATAATGGAATCTGACGAGATGGACATTTTGAAACGGTCGCAGCGCGTACCTCGGCGGTCGGTAAACGTATTATTAGTATTTGCACCAGCCAGTCCGTAACACGACGGTACGCCTAAGACCGTCCGGACGTTCAAGCCAATTGGTTTGCGCCGCGGCGAGAAACGTAAATGATTGAACGGACAGACGGACTGGACAATACTGCAGCGGCGGCGGTGGTGGCGGCGAACGGAACATTAATCGAAAACATTTTAAAAAGATGTGCAAGGAAAAAAATTATCGAAAAAAAAAAAATAATAACCAAGACAGATCCACCGCACACGGAGTAACGATTAATTATTCTGGGGTATTATGGTAGTAGTGAGATGTTTTGCTCGGACGTACGATAATAAACAAAACATTATACCAATATTGTATTATTATGCTGTGATAACGTATCAATCACTTTTCCATGATTGATCGGACGAAAAAAATAAAACAGTCGGAAAAAACAGACAGCGGCTGCCGTTCAAGCGGTAGTGGCGGCAGTGGCGCTCGCGGTGATATCGGCCGTACAGTTTGTAATGTTTCATGAACAGAACTGTGTTTTCGATTGATAGTGGCCGAGAAAACAGGAGAGAACACGACCTGAAATCATTATTTTACGGGATCCGCAATCCTGTACGACCGTTCGTCGCACCATATCGATTTATTAGAACACGAACGGTAATATCCGTTCTCTGAAAACCGTTCGATTCGGCGTCCGAAACGGATTTTGAACATTTCGTTTGCAAGTAAGTACCGACCATGCGGACGCATATGATCGTCCCGGTGGATGTCTGCGTAACGTAATGTTTTTTTGTTTTTTGTTCTCGCGCCGGACGCGTTCTTTGCGTTTTCCGTTGTTTTCCAGCACCCGAGTAGTTTGAACTTGGATCTTTGCTGGGAAATCGACCGGGAATATGTTTGGGCCTGCAGGGCGTTTTACCCGAGGCTTTTCGGATTGTTTTTACCGTCCAGGCAACTGTAGATTAATTAGTCCTTGTTAATTTCGTATTCGGCTACAAAATAAGAACCGTGTAGAATGATTTTGTTTTAAAACGTATGTAATCGATGATGGTAAAAAAATAATTCACTCTCAAACATCCTCTTTAATTGATGTCTATCCTATGTGTGTTTGATATTAGTTACATTTTTCAGAAAAATTTCAATATGGGAAACACGGTGTCGGAAGCTCAAAAGAATGCACAGACTATTGTGAAACAAAATGAAACAAACAACAATGAAGTACTTAAAAATCCACATAACTTTACTAGTACTGTAGGCAAGAGTCCACCTCCCGAATGCCCAATGCATGTCAAAATGGAAGAAAAAAAACCAGTTGGATGCGCCGTTGCAGGAAATCCTGACGATATCAATCCATTGAATATGGTGAGTATCAATAATTAATCTTTGTTAAATAGCATCAAAAAAGTTTGTTAGTTATATATTCTTTTATTTTGCTTCCTTAATATTAAAGTTTAATATTCTTAATCTAATGCTGTTGTCCATTCCACTTTTGGAATTTCAAATTTTGTTTCATGCAAGGTTGACCTCTTTAAATTATCTCATGTTACTCTTTTCATCCTTATTCTTTGTTATTTTCCACTTTACTAGAAGATTTTTTTTTTTTAAACCATCTTAATGTACTATAAGCATAATCGCCCATGACATAAAATGATATGCAATGTCAAAATATCTAAGTTAAATCAATGTTTTTAATGTTTTAATCAAATTCTTAATATTTTCTTTACTAGTGCATTTATACTTGAAATACTATAACCGAATTTGAAATACATTAACAATCGAATATAGGGCATTAATAATCAATATGATAAGCATAGATAAGTGTAGTTAAAATTATGAATGAGTGAAAACCACGTATTAAATAATATCACATAATAAATATGTGAAAGTGTGACAAACAACCCAAGGATGAGCACATAATAATGATTAGATAAAAGCCAAATCCCAAGTTAACAGGAAAACTTTGTACTTGTGAAATCACATATCTCTGACCTCGTCTTGTATTAAATAGTCATGAGACAAAAAACGGTAAGAAGTTCACACAAAATTGGGATATAAAGGGGGTCCTTCTAATGTGTTTTAGTCCTGTTATTAGTGTGCACCTTCACACCAGTTTGTTTAATAAATTAATTATTTGGACTTAATTTAATCACAATAAAAGTAATTCACTTAAGTTGAGAGTTCATTATGTCATACCTATCACTATTCTACATTGATTAAAATCTACTCTCGTTGTCTATCTGTATCCACAGACCGGCATGCAACAGAATAAAAAATATTAATATTTAATTATCTAAAATGTGAAGTTGAGTTATTAAAAGAATGTGAAACAATGATGAAAGTTTTTCTCTAATTTAAGTAAAATTATGGAAAACCTAATAATATCGATCTTATGATATTAGTTCATACAAAATAATCTCTTTGTTAAAAAAATTTCATGACTGCATAAACCAATTTCTAACTAATATGACTTGTAAATTACTTAATATAGTATGTTAAAACAATTTTAATGAAAAAGTTGATTTTGGACTTCTTCTTACATATGATATTTGTATATTTGCACAATTTATGTTGTCAGTAAATGTAATTATATTTTCTTTTATAGATGCCACCCCCTAATCAAAGACCAGCACCTGATCAACCATTTGCATTACCAGTAGAACGTGAAGTATCATCTATTCCAAAGGCAGATGGTGATTTTTGGGTTTATCCATCTGCTCAAGTAATTAATATAAATAAATTAAAACATTACATTTTTTTAGTCTTAACTGTTTGATATTTAGATGTTTTGGAATGCAATGTTACGTAAAGGATGGCGTTGGAAGGATGATGATTTATCACCAAAAGATATGGATGTTATTATTAAAATACATAACATAAACAATGAGCTTGCTTGGCGTGAAGTATTAAAATGGGAAGCATTCCATGCAAATGAGTGTTCCAGTCCAAAATTAAAGAGTTTTGGTGGAAAAGCTAAAGACTATTCTCCAAGAGCTAGAATACGAAGTTTGATGGGATATGAATTACCTTTTGATAGACATGACTGGATTGTAGATCGTTGTGGTAAAGAAGTGCGTTATATTATTGATTATTATAGCACAGATAACTCTACAAATAAATATCAAGTAGCCATTTTGGATGTAAGACCAGCTTTAGATTCATTTGAAGCTTTATGGGATCGTACAAAGGTAACTATATGCTTTTTTTTTTTTACTAGATGTTACCTTCAATTTTGCAACTATATTATTTTTGTAATATTTTTAACTTCAATTAATTATTTTTATTTATAAATTATGATGTAGGCGGCTTATTGGAGATGGCGTTTTGAAGCTGAAACGGAAAGAAATATAGCCAACAAAATGGAAGAATTAAGAAAAACTGATCAAGCATAAATTAATTGTTTTCAATTGTATAGTGTATAGTAGATTCCTTAAGTAGAGATAATTCTCTGCAATCATCCAAAATTTAAGATAAAAGTAAACACTATGGATACTAATACAATAATGTATCAGATTTTGTGACTATTATTATTACTATTCTGTTTCCTATTTGAATTGTTGACAATGATTATATTAATTGTATGTCTTGACAAAATCTGAACATAAATATAATTGTTGATAATATTTAAATAGTTTTATAATTTTATTTTAACTTTTATTTGATTGTCCTACTATTAAAACTAAAACAAAATTTAAAAAAAAAATGGCCTTTTTTTTTTTTTAATACATTTTCTTTTGGCTATTACATAAAATAAATATTATGGTAGTAATGAAAAGAGTATTGGTTTGAAAAATTATGTGTAACAGAATATAAATAATTAATAGGAAACAAAATATTCTGTTTTATATTTTATAAAACTTCTATGGTACTCTGTTTTTTACATTAATTGTTTTTAATTAATATACTGTCCTATACAATTTAATATTTAATTTAATTATTATATAGTTTCCATGTGGTTTTTCATATAGGAAATTAATGAGAATAAAATGTAAATAATCAATTTATTTTTTAGTTATTATAAAAATAAACGTTATAAAAATATAATATTAATTCAATTGATGCTATTTAAAATAAATCAACAATCCTTTGTAATAGTAAAAAATAGTATTTTAGAAGAGCCGTTCAGTATTCAGTTTAAGCATTTATCAGTAGTGGCTAACTTGCAGCAAATGAGACCTCTTTTTATGCAAAATATTTTTACTATCATAGTACATTTTGATTGTTATATCATTAATCTCAATAATATTTATTATGTTAAAATAACGGAGATTTTCAAATTATACGTACTTAAATTAAAATTACATTAGATATGTATGTATTATATTTTTAAGTAAGCTTCTTGAAGTTAACCAAATGCTAAACGAAATCATTTAAAATGAATAATTGGATAAATAATTTCCAACCGGATTCTCAATGTTATATGAATATTTATAATTTGTTTTGTATTTTATGAAAATAGTAATAGTTGTAACTTTTAATAATAAATTGTATTTTATTTTGAGCGTAGTTTGTACAATGTTTTGATTACAAATACTAGTTTATATGTGTAATCATTTTGCTGTAAAAAAAAAAAAAGTTTACAGATGCTAAAATTGTTTAATGTCCTTGTAACTTTAGTATCATGCAGTAATCACTACCTACCTAGCGCGAACAAAACATACCAATTATTTAAAAAAATAAAAATTGTATTATGTAATTAAGTTTATTATTATTATTCTTATAATGACGCAACTCACAAGGATATTATGTTAAAAAAAAATTAACTTATTCGTTTCCATTTATGATATTAAAAATATGCTACAATTGATGGAAATAATTTAAAATAAAAATAAAATAAAGTAATCATTTTTATCGGTAAACTATCGTCCACGTCGTTAATAAACATATTTATAGAACTTACACCAAGTGTCAGAACATATTTTACGAACTGTATTCTGTAACGTGTAAGATTTGTTCATAAATGTTTTCTATTATGACAAACGTATGCTACTCGTATCGAAATTGATAATGAATAGTACATATTATCAATGATGTTACAGTATCATTTTTAGTTGTTGGTAGATAAGTGTCGTATCGTTCAAAGTTATCGGTTATTTTAGAGCCGTTTATTTTACTGTTCTTTTTTTTTTTTTTTTTACTCATTATAATAACGTAATACTTTGTATATTTATCAACAAAGGTAATTTTAAATTATTTTTTTGTTGCGGTCTCGATGTCTGCTGATCTCACGTGGCTGAACATATTTAATCAACGCTGTCAATCGCGTTTGGTGTAGTTCGTTAGTGCCATGAGGGTCTATTCCATTTATTTGTTGATTGTGTGCTTGTCCAGCGGACTGGTCCGGTGTTCCGTCAACGACAATGAATTCATCGATCCCTTGGACATGCTCAATTACGACCGGTCGACCGCTTCAATGAGAAGGTCTCGGACACAGGAGACCAGCAACAACGCTAAATCAGTTCACGATGACCGTTGTACTGTGTTTGTCTCGAGATTTATTAACAGTTTGCTCCAAAATACCGGATTGTCTGTAAGTGTATTTGTACAATCATTCTGCAATTTACTGGTAAACCAAGTTTTAAGACTTTAGTCTGCTAAAAAAAATTTGTATTTTCAAAACACATTACATGTTATATAACTAATGAAAACAGTGAAAACAATAATGATTACAATCTATAAACCACACTTAGTTTTACTCTGTTGCTCCCAGACTAGTTTTACATTAACAAGGATCTAGTATGTTATGAGTAGAGCTGGGATTTTAATGCAAGTGCATCTTTTTTTCTGATGTTCTTAACACATAGGTTTGTAAGAAGAAAATGTACTTCTAATGACATTGATTATTATAATGTAGTTTTTATTTTAGATTTTATGACAAATTTAACTTAAGACGCATTTTTAGGGCATTTTTCAGAATTGATCTATATTATTATATTATCTTTATTCTTAAATATTTGGGTATTTGATTATACTTTTGGCATTTGTTCACTTATAATTTACACGTTTAGTATGTAATCTTAAATACTAAAAAATACAAATATATCGGCCCATATACCTATTTTATCAAAAATAGAACAAAATTGTTATAGTATAAAGAAGTTTTTTTATTTATAAAAAATCCAAAAACTATCATAACAGCAAGTTATGAAATAAAGTTAAATAAAATGTAAATATTAAACAAAAAAGTGCCTATTTTGTTATTATTATGTTAAATATATATAATTATATATGTTTGGTAACATGTATAATTATATAATTTATAATGTAATATTTAAACTATAGTAAATCATTTTTTTGCACATTTTTTTAGAGCATTTTTACTATTTTTAGAACATTAAAATCTAAGCTCTAGTTATAAGCTATTTAATTAAAAATATTTAAAAAAAAGATCAAAAGTGATACAGTACCTTTTTATAGACAAAAACGAAAAAAATCAATAGTTAAATATAGTTAACTATATAAATTAGAATATTTAATACATTTTATTTGATTTCATTAAAAATCTTATCAAAATATTATGTAAATAAGTTTTTATTCTTAAATTCTGTAGGTAGTTATTAGAAACATAATTATACTATATTTAATAATTACACTGGTCAATTTATAATTGATTGATCAAAACTTGTATGAATTGTATAAAAATCTATGCTATTACAATGGTTATTGTTTTCTTTTTATGGTCTGTTACAGTTATTGAGATAATCTGCAGAAAATGTGTAATTTACTATAAATATTATATCATAATTTTCTTTTATGTTAATGTACATCTTTTGATTTCAAGTCCAAACAGAAGAACCAAGAAGAGCTGAAATCCTACACTTTGGTAAAAATCAGTGATAAAGATCTTCAGTCGTTGAAAAATATGGCCAGTAACAGAAATATTGATTATGTTGAAATTGATCGAATATTAAATAGTATGTTTACTCCCTTTAAAAAAAGTATGACAGACAAGTATGAAGGAACATCGTTTAATGAGGTAATTCTATCAAATAAATCAGATAATATTCTGCAAAATAAACATTAATATTTCTTTTGTAACTCATCAAAATTAATGTTGGTTTTTAAACTTAAATTTAGTTTTCTAAAACATTAATTTTGATAAACTTCTATACAAACGTATAAAAATTATTTCAAATAATTATTTGATTCTTAATTTTTATCAGTTTCTTAAATATTAATTAATAATTTAGATTTTCAGTGAACTCAAAGTTCTTCCTATACTTATTTTATTCATATTTCGATGAAGGAACATTTTAATAAGACAATATTGATTTAATGAAGAAAAATGAACCTTTATTTACTAATTAATTGAACTTCTCTTTTTTAAGTGAGGGGACTGAAAAATTAAAAATTACTGCTAATATTAGGAAGCTGGAACTCAAAATTAAGAAAAGAATAAAAATATAACCAGAAAATATTGAAAGTTGAGAAGAAAATAAAAAATATTGAATAATAATAGTGTATAAAAATGTACAGAAAAATTGTAATTTTATTTTCAGCATTTTATTGATAAAATTAGGATTAGAAAATGTTTGAAACCTAAAAATGTTAAAATCATGTTTAAGTTATAAACAAAGCATAATTTATTTTAATGAACTCTTTTAAATTCCATTGTTTCAGATTAAGGGAGTGCTATTTTGGATTTTCTGTGGCCTTATATTGTTGCTTACACTATATGTTATATCTAAACAAATTCACTTTGTGTTGAGCTACACATTTGTTTTTAGTGTTATAATTATTCTCGCATTTGCTTCAACTTGGTATTCTATGTACATGGTAAGAACTTTTTTAATTTATTGACTTTATATTTAATTGTATTTGAACCACATCTCTACAATCATATATTGTCCCCATTAAAGAAACTTATACCAGATTTTCCTGTTTTATATATGTTTATTTTTTAAGTTTTAATTTTAATCTTGTTTCCACAATTGAAGTTCATACAACTAGCTCATGTAATATTAATTATAAAATAGACTTAGACAAAGAATACAGTTATGATATCCAATTCACATTTTTATGAAACTATAGAAAGCTGTAATTAATCGAAATGTTCACCTGGACCATATGCCTGCTCATTGTCAACATACAGGAGGAAGTTGGCTTCATTCGAGTTGGTTTAGAAGACATGATATTGGTAAGAAAATTAATATTTATCATATTAAAATAATAATAAAAATGAATTAAATTTAAAAACTATTAAATGATTAATACTCATAAATTAATTTATAAATAAATAAATGTTTAGTCTGGAGTATTATATTTATAATGTATGATTGGTTTCAAATTAAAACTTCATCATTAGGTATATATACAAAGTTAATAAAACTAAATATGAAGAAATAAAATCTTTATTTAACGCAATTTTATTTATTTATTTTTCAGTTACAATTTTATTAATTTTATATATACCTGATGATGAAATTTTAATTTGAAACTGGTCATACTTTACAAATATAATACTCGAGGCTAAAATTTTATTTATTTATTTATTTATTTATGTAAACTGTTTGTGTATGTATATATTAAATATCTATCATTATTATGGTGTTTAAACTTTGATATTGATTTATTTTAGAGGAGTGCAAAAGGTTCAGAGAGGCAATTATTTTGGATCCAAAGTATTCCATTTCAGTAACTGAAGTGTTATCTGAAATGTTGAGTAAAATTATAACAAAACCAATTGAAAGCTTAGGAGAATCTATTTATGGATTTAATAAATCAGTTTTAAGTAAGTGAAAATGTATTTAGGATATTTTCTTTGTAGTAATATATTAATGTCACTAGCCTAATTAAGTTTGAATTATCTCAAATATTTAAAAAAAAAAAAAGAATTACATAACAAAATTAATACATTTCTTGTTTAGCTCAAAATAAAAAATAAAATTCTAGAAATAATTAAAAAAACATTCTATAATATTCTTACATTCACTTTTTAAATGAACTAAATATTATAAAATTAAGTGTTTTTAATCAATGATATATTATTATTTCATTTAAAAAGGTTATATAACATAATTAAAGTTTCGACATAAGTTTTTTTTTTTGTTTTATTGAATTGAACTTAAATAATAATTGAGTTATTGTTATTTCATTTTTCAGAGGATATTCCATTTTGGGCTCAGATATTGATAGTTCCTATCATTATTGTCATATTCATAAAATCATTTTTGTTGGCAATTGCATTATTAGTTGGTAGAAGTTTGAGTATGAAATCCGTGTTTGGATATGGTGGCACATCAATTGGCTCAGGACCTACAATTAACGATCAGAATAACACATATAGTAGAACCAACAATAATACCCAACCAACAACTAGAGTATTACCCACTATTACTCATATGCCTCAAATTCCCAAAGTTAATTTAAATATCAATTTATTTCATCCTAGTAATATTGTTGATGATTGTAAAAAAATAGAAAATAATACTTCGTTCTTAATTAATAATAAATTAAAAACTAATAAAAAAAATCTAAGCAATTTAATAGAAATGTTAAAGAATAAAGAGATTGATAGTGTTGATAGTAAAAATGCTGATAGTCTAGCTGTGAAAAGATATAGGCATAGAACATTATCTTTTTGATTTTCATTTTCAGAATACATACTGCACAAATTTTGATCTGATTATAATTTTAAAATGTTACTTATTTTTGTCTATTTTTATTGATAGCTTTGTGTCTTTTTATAAATTATAAATTTAGAAGTGGATTTGTGTATAAATATGCACAAAAACATTTCCTAAATAATATTTAATATTTACTGAAAATTCCACAGTGTATATATGTCTTGAATAGTTAAATAATGGAGACACTTTCACAATAATTATTTCAAAGAGATTTGAGTTTTGAGAAACTTTTTATGTACAATGTGTACATTTTTATATTAATTGCTACTCGTGTACTGATTTTTTTATTTTAAAATTATGACTGTAAATATTATGTTCTTATATTACTGAACTAGATTAAAAAAATAGTATTAAATATATTTTTATAATACAAACAAGATATTTCTTTTTTTTATGTATCTATATAAATAAAATAACAATGTAGTAAATTTCTTACTTAAACATACATCCACATTATATTATTGGTTGACTAGTTTTTGATAATTTTGAACTTATAATTTAATCTATATCATGCTAACACCATTTACATGCGCGATCTCGCTTTAGGCTTGCTAAATTTGAATTTAAAACCTGACAAACACTCATGTTTTTAAAAAGAATACTTAAATATATTTTATTTATGATGATAATATTCAAAGACATTACTTATAATTGTATTTTTATAAATAATTGTTGAATGATTGTTTTAAAAGTTTTCAGAAAATATGATTTTTTTTTAATGCGAAATAAAATCCTCTTCGTGGATCTATTGGGATACAAATAAAATTAATTTAAGTAATTTTAAAGTTAAATGTGATACTTGACATTTTCGGATAATACGAGTTATTTAATAATTCTAAAAAAAATTATAAATAGTCACGAATAAAGAAAAAACTTAAAATATTCATCATGTTCTTTATCAAAGTTGTAGTATCAACATTAAAATGTTCTGCTACTGTTAAAATTTTACAAGAGAAATCAATCGAACGTCTCGTAATGAAGTTCTCTAGAGAGCGATCCATGTGTCAAGAAAAGCAGGTATGCCTCAACCCAAGCAATCTTGCGCGTTTCAGGCGGTGGATAGACATTTTTGAATATCCTCTGGCGGCAGGAAACTGCTAATATATATTGGTTAAGCACTTGCAAACCACGAGGGTAGTTCTCGCTTCTCATTCCTCGATTAGAGCATACCTCCCCCCTTCCTGGTGTACTCTAAAGGGAAATTCCTGACTGATGGATTAGCCAATCTTTAAGGCGGGTTGATGAAAGAAACTACGGGTCCTTTACCGTGGTCTCCGAAGATGTCTCGATTAAATTTTGATCGCACTTTAGAAAGTCTGTGCGGGTGAATCTAACTTGCTCCGGAGTCCATTTTTTTTCTATCACATTATAGCCAGGACCTAGAGGAGGATGCTCTCGCTTTGTTTTCCTCACAGTTTAGACATCGTTTATTCACTAATAACTACAAATAAAGCTATGGAAAAAAATTGAAAAAATATGTAAACATATAATTTTGAACTCCCCTTGTACGATTCCTGCGCACGTTCCTGATGAAAAATATGTTATTTTTTGTTATTTACTTATACATGTATTTTGATATTTACTTATAATTATAAATAAAATTTAAAACAAAATTAATTTTTTTTTAATTTGTTGTTTAGAAGCACGGTTGAGATTTAGGACAAGTGGACAGATATACTTTTTTTTACTCATTAAGGCTAATATACCCCGTCTAACTTGATTTTGCTTAAGGCCATCGAAGCACTTAATCCGGTACTGTATCTTTTCTCGCATATTTTAATCTCTTGTTTTTGTCGACGGAAAAGCCACACTCCTTTCCGGGATTTAGTGTACACGACTTTTGGTTTGATTCAAATTAACTCGTACGATAGAAATGTCTTGTGACGGAAGAATCACGGCCCACTTAAATTACACGGGCCATCGCCAACATAAAAAATGATCCTGAGGATAGCGGCAGCGTCCACGTTGGAAACCACTAGCTTAGAGCGTCATTCCGCGTGGCAGAGGATTTCGTTAAGAACTGCGGATAAGTCTAATGTCATCCTGGCATTAACCTTTCACATATCGGCGCAACAGCGAATCCAGGTGGCACTCTTGAACTTGTACGATTCATGTAAATAATTTTCGGGGCTAGTTTATGATGCGTAGTCTAAGACGAGCGATTGCTCCTCAACCCGTCGGTTACACACTTTTGAATTATAAGATCGCGAGGTTTGGAAAAGATGATTTTTTTTTGAAAGAACCAAAAATCGTTTTTACACTGTACTACCACTGTAACTATCGCTGCGCTACAGCATGTACCAGTTTGCGATTTTTTTTTAACTTTACCATCACACAAAACGATATTATGTGATGTTTTATAATTATAATAATAACAATAAGTTAAGTTATTATTCTTGATGAAAATGCAACCAGAAGAAAAAAAACCGCGTTCTTGTAACTTCTCGTACATCTGTTTGCAACCCTTTCTCACACGTGTAGTATATAACTATGATGGTACCTGTTGATCAATAATTGCTATCAATTTCCGCTGGGTTAACTTACATAACTTGAACGTTTATATTCAAAGGGTGCTCTACAATAACAATCGACACGTTGCAGCCATACAATCGGTTATAACAACATAATAACTGTTTAACTCGTGGATGCGTTTAGATTATAAAATATTATTATGTTACCGGTGTGTACGCAATACGACATATGTGCACATATCAATAGCGTTTAACCGTGGCTAGTTTGTAGTATTTTCACCCGTTAAACAGGCGAGGTACATAGTTTCGATAGCGGCCATGGCGGTAATTCGAGAACACGTGATTACGTGCGAATTATCTTGTTCGCCAATTAGGAAAAAACAACTTTTGCGCACGATTTCAAGCATATCGACGTCCGTCTGGCCAAGGTTTATTCGACAGAGGGTCCTTATGCTACCTGCAACGCTAAAGTGATAATATTAGACATTAAAATCGTATTTTCGCGACGCGTGTCGGAAATTAAGGAAGATGGATGCATCAAAGCGATAATGTTGATGGTTAATAATGATTAGGGCTCGGGTGTTTATGAAATTGCATACTTTTTTCTATTGATCCAATTTAATGTGGACTTGGATGTAAATTTACTATTTTTATTTTGCATATTTTTGAAAATATTATGGTTTTATATTTTAAATGCATATTTCAGTACATTTTCGAATCTATTTAAAAATCATTTAAAGTAATGGGTAGATAAATGATAAATTATCGACCCGTATACTAATGTTCGTCCCCAAAATTTTTAGATTTAGGTAATTTTGATCAAATTAAAAAAAAAAAGACATTGTATCACACAATGTAACGCTCAAATTTTAAATTAGTATATAAGGAATAATATTTAAAAAAGTATAAAATATAAAAATAACGATTAATATAAATTATAATACAAAAGGTGAAATACATTTTACTCTGCATATTTTATGTTTTTTTTTTGCGTATATTTTGAATGCATATTTGGTTATTTTATTTTAGTGCATAAATGCATACATATTACAGTAATTTTAAGTGCACAAACATCCGAGTCCTAAGTATAATATTATATATTTGAGTATATACTATACATATATAGTGAAAGATAATTATATAGTCTAATAATAATAATAATCTAATATAGTCTTTGAAAAACTCGGATCGATCTTGTGGCGTAGCGGAGGAGTGAAAAATATTTAATCATTCGAGAAGTTAAAATAAAATTGATCTCCAAAGATTGCCGGGTTAGCCGGGTGTCAATTGTCTTGGGATCCGACACAGTTCGTAGTAAATACTTAAAAACATTATATATAGCCGCGTATCGCTGTAAAATAACAATAACCACTATAGTGCTTTATTAACTCGCGCGCAAGCACTTTGAAAACGCTTAATGTTTTCGTCCGGCGTTGAACACGATATAAGTCGTCGTGACTAGTTATGCTGACGTGTAAGAAGTATAAGTGCCTCTTCTAAATTTTAATATTTACCGGTATGTAAAATTTAAATACACTTGTTATACCACGTTTCATTATGAATACAATACGGAGTAGCGCGGAAATCCAATGAGCGAATAGCACATTAATTTTTTTTTATTCAAAAATATTAGTACTTACCTATACAAATACAATGATTGTAAAATATTAAATGTCGATAACGCGTGTATACTTTGTACGCATAAATATATTTGTTTGTACGGTAAGACGGTAATTATTATGCCAAATTAATACCAGCGTTTTCAAGTATATTTAAGCACACTTGTGCGCATATAAAATTTTAAGTATTCTATTTTTTCGGCATGAGTTTTATGCAACATCACATCTTAAAACGAGACGTACAATATATTTTAACGTGAATCAAATTATGCACAATTACTATATTTATTTATAACTGAACGGATACGGCCCGTTTGTATGATTATTATCTGCCTTTATTGTAGTGTAGGTACACCGAATTATATTTTAATCAGACGAACAGCATTGCACTCGCAGTTATATAGTAATATAATAACTTTATATTAAATGTTAAGGCTTTTTGTCAAACCAAAATTATTGTATCGATATTTTCGAAAAAGCTAAGAGAACAAGAATATTGCAACCATCTATAAATAGCTTACAAAATTTATTGAAAATGATACGATCTATAACGAACATTGATATAAGCATTCAGCGAAAATGTCAAGTCTCTACGATTATTATTTTTTGAGTTACGATGAAAACAAAATTTCGATTAAGTCGGAAACCGGTAACAGTACATTTTGGTGTATAGTTACAAATTTTCGTCGGTTTTTCGAAATTATTAAAAAAACTGTTGAGAACTTCTTAAATTCAACCTCTGTCAAAGTATCGAACCATTTAATTTATTTTATTATCATAATTATTTGGTGATGTTTGGAGCACTCCTTCTGGTTGAAATTGCGTACACAGTTACACAAAAAAAAAAAAAAAAAAAACACACATCTTAATAAAACCAATACGTTACTCATTTCATGCAGAATCAAAAATATTATATGTAAATTCAAATATAGAATAATAATACATATAATCAATTATCAT